CCCCTCTCCTCTCCAGCAGCGAGGCAGACGGCGATCCGTTTTTAGGCTGAGTCACGCTGTTTGTGAAGCCACCTTGCCTGCTTGGAGGGGTGAGCAGGGTTTGGGGCTTAGGCCAGGTATCCAGCCTCATCCTCCCTCTTCCTCCTCTACCTCGGGGCAGGAGTGGAGGACGCCTCGTCCAGGGCAGAGCTCAGAGGGCTTCCCTGTGCTCTCTCTAGGAATGGCTACAAGTTCCTCTACTGCTCAGCCAGAGCGATCGGCATGGCTCATGTCACCAAAGGCTACCTCAAATGGGTCAACGAGCAAGGCTGTGCGCTCCCCAAGGGCCCCATCCTGCTCGCCCCCAGCAGCCTCTTCTCTGCCTTCCACAGGTACCGTGTCCCCTCCTCCTCCCCAGCCCTGCACCTCCTGCGTCTCTGGGGACAGCACCCCCTTCCCCAGCTCGACGCTGAGGGATATCACAGCCTTAAGCTGCTTCTGGCCTCCTTAGCGCAGGGTGCCTTTCATGAGAGGCACCAGGGGAGCTGCCTGTCCTCCCTGGAGCTTCACGGGGAAGCCCCTGCAGTGCACGAAATCTCTTTTCAAATGGCTGCTTTGAGCCCCGCGCAGCCTGGCTGCCCACAGGCCTGGCCCCCTGATGCCGCTCTGACCTCTGCTCTGTGCACGCATCTTGTGCTGCAGGGAGGTGATTGAGAAGAAGCCAGAGGTGTTCAAGATCGCCTGCTTGATGGACATCCAAAACCTGTTTGCCACGAAGCTGCCCTTCTACGCGGCCTTCGGGAACAGAGCAAATGTGAGGGGGTCTCCTGGGGCAGAGGGGTGGCTGAGGCCAAGGTGGTGGTGGTGCCTTCCTGCAGCTCTCACGCCGTGCTGGCCTTCCTTGGGCAGGATGTCTACGCTTACAAGCAAGTGGGCCTGCCGGAGAGCCGCATATTCACGGTCAACCCCAAGGGAGAGCTGATCCAGGAGCTCACGAAGAACCACAAGTCAACGTAAGTGACCTGCTTGTTAATCTTTGGATTAACCTGGGTTTGACCCAGTGAAGCATCTCGTGGGGGTTTGTTTGCATTTCTACGCCAATGACTGAGTCAGCTTATTGCTGCAACTTCTTGCTTACCCCCATAGGTACGAGCGGCTGTCGGAGCTGGTGGAGCTGATCTTCCCTCCCCTGGGGCAGAGCGGGAGCGTTGCTCTGGTGTGTCCAGAGTACAGCCACTTTGCCTACTGGAGATCTCCACTGCCTGCTGTTGACTTGGAGGCCTTCTCCTGACCCTGTTACCCATGGAGACCTGACCCGGGGCTCTCCTGGGCATCCTCTGCCGGGACTGGATGCTCCAGATGCACCTCCTCACCCCTGTTTGCTGTTCAGGCACTTTGTACTTGTAATACGGGTCATGTTCTGCACTAGAAATGCCTCTCTTCCAGGGCTGACTGGGGGTAAGGGGGAGCTCTGACTCTACAAAAACTCCATTTACTAAATGGAAATTCCCATCAGCTGGGTCTTGTCTTAAAGTCCTTAACACACTTAAAAGCCTAGCTCTTTTTTAAAGGTGGTGGTGGGTCACTGTCTTGTTTATTGATGGTGTAGCTCTCTCTCTACCTCCAGTATGACCAGTGTTCCCAGACAGTCCAGCTACCTGCTGTTTGGTAACTGATGGAGTAAAGCTGTGCCATGGCTTAACAAGTTGTTAAGGTGGATGGAAGCTGTTGGGGGTTTGAGTTTCCTTCACTAATAGAAATAATTAATAAATAAAGCCTTAATTCAGGCTGTCTCTTGTCCATTGTAGCCCTGTGCATGGAAGTGGGAGCCAGGCTCCGTGTCCTTTTACAAACGTGGCTGGGTTTATCCTGCTGATTTTTGCTGGGTCTTGGCGGAGATGGGAGCAGGACCTGCAGCCTACTCCGCCTGTGGAGAAGCTGCACTAGAAAAGGACTTTTTTTCTTTTTTTTTTTTTTTGCCTACTACCTTCAGGTAATGTTGCAAAATTGTTTTAATACAGGATGCAAACCTGGGCTTTGTGTGTGTGCATGAATCTCTCCTGTACTGGTAGCCTGTTATAACCTTAGGCCAGGGCAGGAGCTTATTCCTGTGACCTTGTATTGGAGCGTTCAGGTGAAGCTGGGCTGGGCCTGGACCCGCTCCGCTGTGCGTTCAGCCAGCCTCATCCCCTGCTCTGGGAGCTCTCGGCTGTAACTACGTAAAACAAACGGGGCAGGAGCACTGCTGGGCTCCTTCCTCCAGTCTGGCACCCAGCTTCTCCTTCCCCCACCACTGTGTGCGAGTGTAAATCATCTCCTGGTCTGCCTGCCTCCGTGCTTTAACTCTAGCTCTGCTTTTCTGAAAGCCACACAAGTCATTTCGATCCTGGAAACCTCAGCAAGAAATACTTTATTTTCTTCCTTTCCAGTACAAAAACCTTTTTAGCTTTTAAGATCTGAACAAATGTACAAGGTTTTAAAAACAACAAAATGTGGCCTTTTAACAGGATCAGTTATCAACTGCCTTGGAAAGCTCCCTGCACAAGGACAACCACGTGGGCACCATCTCCTTCCCTCCCTGCAAGAAAAAAAACAAAAAATGCCCTATTTTGTACAAAAAAGTTCCTTTCACTTTTTAAACATGAACAGGTGAGAACTGAAATACCAACTGTCTGTAGCTTCAAGTGATGAGTCAGGAATAGTCCAAACATAGCACCATTTTCTGGAAGGTCGGACTTCTTCCTTCTCTGAGTTTTTCTATGGCCAGTCCCGGCCCCCTCTGTGCTGGAGGAAGCTGTTGCTCTTCAGCTGCTCTCTGCCCCAGCCCTGGCCGGGGAAGGGGTGAGCCTGGCCCTTGGATTAATTTTCTCTTTGGTTGCTGCAGCCCTTTTTCTCCCTGTTGTGAGCAGATGGGGAGGGAGCTTGGGCAGGATCCTCCTGGCCCATTACAAAGTGCTGATGGCTGGCTTGAGATTCCTTCCAGGGGCTGGAGGAAGAAAAAGTAGGGTTTGTTGTCTAAAACCAGGATTTACAGGATGCTGGAGGTTACTTGTCTGCTGAAGAAGTGTCTCAGCAGCTGCAACGTAGCTCCAGAGCAGCAAGAATGGGTTCTGGTGGTGTGAGTATCTGGCAGCCGGCGGGGCTGAGAGTGGTGGGAGGCCAAGGTCCCTTCTCCATGCTCCTACAGCTCCTCTGGCACGGGAGAGAGCTTTTGGCCCATCAGGGTAACATGACGTAGCCAACTGGACTCGGTGATCCCTGTGGTCCTCCCCAGCCTGGAAGCATCTGCTTCAGGGAGCTCATCCAGTTTTTTTGGAGGAGAAAAGGTGCCCAGATGCATCTCTGCTGGGAGCTGCAGCTGCTTTGTGCTGGTCAGAGCACAGAGCTGCTCCTTTGTGGGCTGGAGGGGAGCAGGGGGGGACTCGTGGTGCAGAAGAGCAGGGATGACCTGGTGAGGGTGATAGGCACAAGGTGGGAGCTGAAGGCTCGCTGCTGTGGAAGCATCCATGAGCTGCAACGTTGAGCTGACAGAAAAATGTGTTCCTCTGCTATAAAGTGCCAGAGCTGGTCAGATGGAGGCTCTTTAATTTCCTCTTCGTCCTTTCTGGTAATGAAATCCCCGTTGGCTAGGCAGTGGAGGGCACCGGTGCTGGACGCCCCAGGAGAGGTGAGTTTTGTGTGCAACAGCTGCACGGTCCAGGCGCCGGCTCCATAGGGCAGGGTTGGAGTTGCTGAGGAGCTCGTACAACCTTCTCCAGCCTACCTGTTTGTGGGAAACTAGAGTCAAGCTGGGTAAATCATTTTTCTGTTCCCAGGCTGAGCTGAGGAGATGTCTCGAGAGGTCTTCTCAAAGGTGCCCTGCCTCCCTGTCCCCAGTGCTCTGCGCTGGCGCTGGTCCCCAGGCAGCTGGCATCCCAGCAGGCTCAGAGGAGCGCAAGGAGGACGCAGGCTCCTGCTCCTGTGCTGCCGGACCGGGAAAGCCCCATGCTCACACCCTGGAGCAGCAGCAGTTCTCCTGCCCCGGGATGAGGTGAGGGAAACCATGTTCACAGTTCAAGCAATAAAACAGGAGAGAACTAGAGCTGGAGGACAGGACTGCTCCATGCCTGTCTCTATCTCTGCAGAGACCAATGGACACACATCTCTTTGGGGAAGACACAAGTTTTCCATAACCCTTCGTGTCAGTCCCAGGTGTGACCAGAGAGCGCAGTGAAGTGGGACTGCAGAGCACGGCAGCCCCGAGCGTCCGCTGCTGCGGCCGTGTGAAGCTGCTCAGGGTGGTTCTTCAAAATACGGCAAGAGGCGTGGGCGCAGCAAGAGGAAACCGCAATCAGATGAGCACCTCGACAGCGGATTGTTCAAAAACATACATACACATACCATATATATATGCATATCTGTGTTTTCCTAATACATATCCTCATACGCTCTGTAAGGCATGTGTGTTTGCATGGAGTATAAATGGATTTACCGTACAGGAGGAGGGCTGCCGTCTCGGAGAGGGGAAGGCAGTTCCCAGGAGGATGTGTGAATACGTGTGTTCTTTGAAACGTGCAATTCCTGTGGTGAGGTTTTTTTCCCCTGCAAGGAGCCCTGGCTCCGCTCAGCCCCTGGATTAAGACACAGGTGGTCTTTAGGTCAGAGAAACTCTATTTTTCAACTGACAACTAGATGGTTTTATTCTTCAAGAAGCGATAAATCCACAAAAATAAAACAATAATTAAAAAAAAAAGAGTTCCCGCCCCCAGTTTCCTCCTGAATCGTCCTTCTGGGGTCATCAGCCCAGGAGCCAAGCAACGCCCCCGGCTGCACCACGGCCGGGACAGCTGCTGAGGGGCGGGAGGCGAGCACCCTCACGGCAGAGC